TGACCGTAGATAGGATAGCAAAGATCAACGGCCAGAATCTCTTAATCCGTGCAAGTGGGACCTTGCCCCGGGGCTGATGTTACCTCTGGGGGGGGGGGGGGGGGGGGGGGGGGGGGACCTCCAAAAAAAAAAAAAAAAGAAAAAAAAAAAAAAAAAAGAAAGGCGTGTAAGAGGCTGCTTACTAACTTTCACACTGTTGTTTGTTTTTTTTTTCCCCCGACCATTGACCAAAAGGCATCTTTAGACTTGCCTCAATTTCACCAAAATTGAACTGTTAGACCACGCCAAGCGTGGTGGCGCAGCCAGGGCGAGGGGCTTTCCTTTGTTGATGGAGAGGCTCAGCCTAGGAAACGCTATGGGTGGCAGCGATATGCGATACCCCCAAGTTCCCTAAGGCTAAGGCAGGCCGGGGGCCAGGTCCCACTAGCAGCGTTGAGTTTCCTCAATGTATGAATCTGGGCACGATGTGCGGTTGAGAAAACTCAACGTGATTTCTGCACATATCCACAAACACGTCCAGATTCAGGCGTTGAGGAAACTCAACGCTGCTAGTGGGACCTGGCCCCAGGCTTTGGTTTTGGGTATAAAACCTGCCTTTTCTTAAGTCGTGTTTAAGTGTGGGGGAGGGGGGGCCCCACACCCCCTCCGCCCCCATGTCAAGTGCCCAAAAGACCATCTCCCTAAAAGGAAAGTGAACCTCGACCACCACCACCTAAACCGACCGCACTCACATACCTACGGCCCTCGACTTCTCCACCTCACACACGACCGGTCCGTCTCCTGCCCCCGACCGCACCCTTCCCCTGCACCGCACGACGCCCTGTAAACCCCTCTAACTTGTCATCGACATGCCGGAAACGGCAAACGGCCGCTAGACAACAAAAGTTGTCACCGCAAAACGCAGCCTACTGGCTGCGAACAGGTGCAAAAGTCTGGCGATATGGTGCAACCAACCATATCGCCAGACTTTTGCACCTTTTCAATTCGACCTTGCCCCTTTTGTTGGAAGGTCGAATATGTTGGCCGAGCCATATTTGTGGTTGAGATAAGCTCTCATCGGAATGAGAAAATCAGAAATTCCGGTGAATGCTCCAACTGATCCGTCTTCAAGCGAAGATTGAGAGAAGAATATAGGTCACTTTTAAAAAAGAAAAAAAGCTGCTGCAGAGAAAAAGCTAAGCACACTGAAAAGGCCCAAAAGGGTAAGTTTCAAAAGAGTACCGCAATACCTTTCTCGGCCTTTTGGCTAAGATCAAGTGTAGTATCTGTTCTGGGTTGTGGTCCCATTCGCAGTCGGATGGCCGATCCAGTGTGACACTGTGCGGCAGCGGGGTGACAGGTTCATTACGATAAAAAAAAAAAAAAAAACAGAGACCTCCCACCTGAAATCACGGCACGGTGCTTCCCAGCCATCAGATCACGAATGATCTGATGGTGGTGGTTGCATCAACAATGAACAAGGTGACCGGCACATTTTCTAAACTAAACTCGACTTCTGACAGCAGTGATCGTGACACCCTCCATATACTCCGTGATTGAAGGAGGGCTCCACGCAATGAGATAATTGCACAACAGCAAGTAAAATGCTGAAAATCTTCTATCCAGTAGGCTAAGGCCGGCCCCAACCTCGTTTGGGGTTGGCCACACCCCCAACAAATTGAAAAGATTCTGGCTGTCTTTGCACGGGCATGCCCAGTGTTAAACCACCAGTACCTGGCCCAGCTATCGAGTCCGAGTCTCTCTCTCTCTCTCTCTCTCTCTCTCTCTCTCTCTCTCTTCGAAAATCGAAATGGGAATGCATCTTCCCGTGGGAAGATGCATTCCCGTTTCAATTTTCCAAAAGAAGCGGGAAGATGCATGCATTCCTGTTTCGGTTTTTGAAACGAGAGAGAGAGAGAGAGAGAGAGAGGCTCTCTCTCTCTCTCTCTCTCTCTCTCTCTCTCTCTCTCTCTCTCTCTCTCTCTCTCTCTC